GTTTTCTTCATTTTTCATTCTCAAATCAGATCGCTCTTGTAATAGGGAATGCTGTGTATAAGAGATACGATATAGATTTTAAATTATAGATATAAAAATAAATATACATATTTATTTAAATACATACTTCTATAAAATATTAGACGCTACTCGTCGCTAACGCTCGCGCTGGCCTGTAACAGGTATACTACGCGCATGCGTTCGAGTGCCACGCATTCACTCTGGCTCTGTCTCTTTCTAGTATGGTAGCGTTAAACGTTTATCGTAACCTTGATGGAAGACGCATTAGAAGTTTCACTTCAAAAATAATCTCACACTGTAGCCGCTTATAATGGCGCTTTTTAAATCACGGAACTGAAAGCATTTCGCTATATAGTTACGTACATAATATGAGTTAAAGATTTTTTCGATTAACAAACGTGGGTAGTTAGTTCTTTTAATGAAATCGTATTTGCAATTTTTGTAAATATACACGAAAATGATTCGCGCAATGCCGCCGTTTTGTTTTGAAATTTGCTAACAGTATAAAAGATGAGAAAATCATATAATTGTTAACAGTAATTGATGATGATTATGTATACCTACATTAATACGTGAAACAAAAACTTTGTACCCGTTTTTACGAAAGTTGCGCGGACTGAGGAGTGCGAAATTTCCCACACTTATAGAGAATATAGAGAAGGAGTGCCGAATGTTAATATTTTTCTAAATTATGCATAAAAATAGATTAAATCAATAATAATAAAACATTACACACACTACCATGTATTTGACAAACACACGCATACATACAATTTGTTTATTGTCAATCTTGTCTTATTGTTTATAGTCTGTGGTCAAATTAAAGATAGGTTAAATATTATTTGTCTTTATTAATATTTGTCTAAAGTGTCGTCTTGGCGAAATCTGTGATTATAGAAGTATAATAAGTCTTTGAAAATAGAATCTTAATAGTGTACAAACTTATAATTTCAATTATATTCATATATAATTCAATTAATTATAGTCGAATTTCGACTACCGGGGGACCACTAGTACGATTTAAATTTGTACATTTACTACTGTTAAGACCTCTTGTGAGTCCGCACGGGTAAGTAACACCACCCCGCCTATTTCTGCCGTGAAGCAGTAATACGTTTCGGTTTGAAGTGTGGGGCAGCCGTTGTAACTATACTGATACCTTAGAATTTATATCTCAAGATGGGTGGCGCATTTACGTTGTAGATATCTATGGGCTTCAGTAACCACTTAACACCAGGTGGGCTGTGAACTCGTCCACAAATCTAAGCAATAAAAAATATGTACGAATCGCTTCCGCTCGTGATGAGCACCGTGTCGCTTGAGTGACAGTATCGATCTCACATAATCGCGCCCCGCCAATCGCCCCCACCTAGGACCCGGGCCGATGCCTCCAATTCCGCATTATCTCCGACTTTCTTCCCCTTTGTACTTATTTTCTTCAATTTTTTCCTCCCCACTTTTATTTCGTTCCTTATTTTCTTACTACTATTATTTTCTCTTATGTATTTTTCGTGTTTCATCCCGTATTGGAGAGGAAAAAGTTTTTTGTCGATCATTTTGAACGTCGTTATTGGTGGAGTTGCGGGTAAGAGCGCTCGTCTACCGAATTGATTTTTTTTAATGAATTCCTTCTTTATTGAAAAATAATAATGGTCCGTTTGTTTGAATAGAAATATTGGCGTACAAATTAATGTTTGACTTTTATTTTCGCTTCGTCTTTTTTTATTTATTTATTGTCACGTTCAGAATATTGTAATTTGGGTTTAAAATTAGATTATATTTGGGTGTGGATGCTTGAACTTGACTTTTTATGAAGATTCTGATTTACATCTCATTCATTATTTTATTTTAAGTGAATCTATCGTCTTCAGCGACATATCCTAGGTCCACGTGTTAATAAATTGTCACCGAAGCTAATTGATATAGTAATTTAAAACTTCATCAGAATAAGAACATGAAAGAAATTTCGAGAAACATTGACGAGAGAGCTATTACGCAATATGGTATGTACGTGGGAAAAATTTACTCTAGTAACTGGATGAGCTCTTCTCCTGGGTGGGTGCTGCATTAGTAAGATCTTGGTGTCGAGTTAATTCGGAACAATCGCTGGGTGTGCTTTATGACCATCACCTAATAATAGTATGTTTGACCGGTAGATTATTTCATTTATTTGTTCCAATTCCATTTAACTTGGCTGTGCCCCTGGCAACGGTAACCATTCACAATCATGGCCATATGTTCATCTCCCTACAAGGACAATATTTTTTAATACTAAGTATGATTCTTATATATAATATCGGCGGTATAAAAGCAAACGATCTTATTAAATTTCCATCAAAACGTTTAATCCAAATCAATTGCCTACTTTAGCATTCTGTTCCGAATTATTTCTAAGGGCAATCGACCGCATTATGTTCGTTCCGTCACGATGTAAGGGCGTGCACACACCGTCAATCAGACGGACGATCAATCAAAAGTGTCAACTGATTGGAAAGTCCGCCATGTTTGGCTGAGCAAATGTCACGCATCAATCATATCTCGTAGTGATGCGTGCCGCTCTCAAATTTTTATGTTCTCCAGTGAAAATACACCGTTGCTTTCATAAAAAGCTCTGTCCTGGGCAGTACTTATGTATTTCATAAATCTTAGGTGAGGAGGTGGAGAGTGGACACTGAGCACCGGGAAAACTAATGTCTTTAAGTGTCGGTCATGTAAAATGTAAATTTAGTTTCAATATCAGAGATCTCAGCGGTAGATGTGGCAGCTTCACAAGCTTAAAGTCTTACCTTTACTAGTGGTTCCGCAGTAGTCGAAATTCGCCTTTAATTAATTTAAATTATAAATTTGAACATTTTTATGGTTAGTTCTATTGTCAAAGATATAAATTTCTTTATTCACAGATTTCACCAAGACTACACTATAGACAAATAATATTGAAGACAAACAATACATATTAATCTATTCTCAATTTGACTACAGACTTTAAATAATAAAAGTTTGACAATAAACAAAGTATACATGTATTTAAATGTGTGTTTGTCAAATATATGGTTGTAAGTGTAATGTTTTTTTTATTGATTTAAAGTGTTTTTTATGGATAATTTAAAAAAATATTTACATTCTGCACCTCTTCTCTATCTTGTGTGTGAAATTTCATACTGCTCCGTCCGCGCAATTTTCGTAAAAAGGAGTACAAAGTTTTTGCTTCACGTATTAATATATAGATTACAAATACGTACAAAAGGAGTTCTCGATCTTCTCTCTTCATTGAGGTCCCCTTCATTGAAATTTCACGTACAATGCTTTTCATACGTCCACGCAACATAATTAATAACGAGAACTTGCCTCAATTCCCTTAATGAATCGTATCCACGTCACAACGAAACATAAAAATGTGACAGATTGTGTAACAGTCGTCTCATTCAGCGCGACCATCAGGCCGTGCGGTCATTACCCAGGAATCGAACCCCGGCTCAAGTGGCCCGACCATAAAGCAAATTAATCAATTAGCTGGAGGCATGTCGACAGCATCGCTGGGACGTTTAATTTCGCCCTCACTGAGGGCCGTAAACAACCAGTAAAGCCTGAGCCCGCTTTACGAGCAAAGGGTTAGGAGGCGAGGATCCCGGCGATGGGGGCTCGCGTAATTTTTGTCTGCAATACTGGGGTCGTAATTTTGTACAATTCCGCTGACGCATTTGGTTGATAGCGTGGAGTGCGCTTTGTCAGTATTGTTGATAGTTTATGATCGAGAGTCGCGAAGCTCCCTCGGTCTTTAGAGCTTTTTTTGTTGTTGTTAAATACACTGTTAACTAATAGCTCGGTGCTCGGGAGACGATACGAGTTACATTGTCAAGTTAAATGTCGTTTTGTACAATTTTTAATGCGTTGAATTTACACTTTGCTGCAATTTTAGATGAATTTGTTGACGAATTATTATTACTAACATTACTAACACAATCACGCCACGTTAACTAATCCCGTGCTAAGTTCGTAAAGAACTTGTGTTACAAGTACCAGATAACGGAAATAAATATAATATTTTTATTATACACATACATATATTTAATATAAACCCATAACCCTGGAAAGACATTTATATTTATCATACAAATATCTTCCCTTGGCGGGATTCGAACCCGCGACCCCCTTGTGTAGTGACCATATCACTTACCACTACACCAGACGGCTGTTTCTCAAGTAGTCCTATATATTTTTAATTACCCATTATTTCTTAGAGCATTTAAAGGTTTTGTCTATTTCGGTAAATCTTTCTGAATAATCTTAGACTAAGTACTTTACTGAGCTATATATTCATAATTACCTTTCTTTATTTATCGCTATTATGTTTCGGTGTTCAATAAAGTTACCGGTCACCGTGCTCGCCGAACCCGTCGCTTGCGACGAAAGGCTCTACGAGCGAATTAACCCATAGACACAGCCCACTGAGTTTCTCGCCGGATCTTCTCAGTGGATCGCGTTTCCGATCAGGTGGTAGATTCTGCGAAGCACTGCTCTTGCCAGGGCCAGTGTTAGCAATACTTCGGTTTGAGCCCCGTGAGCTCACCTACACATTAAGAAGAAACTGAAATAGCCTCTCAAGGCTATCAAAATAAGTAGGAAAAAAAAGTATACCCTCTCTTTCTATGCATATCTCTCTCTCTAAGCTTTTTTGCATAAATTGGTAACTGAGCTCACGGCGGACTTGTTAAGCTGATACTATAGTCCGCAGACTGTTTAGATCTCGAATGAATCAATATCGAAAGCTCCTAAATAAATATACATAAGGTTGAAATTTGTAAAAAAACATAATAACTCATATCTCAAGGTGGGCGGCGGCATTTACGTTATAGATATCTATGGGCTCCGGTAACCACTTAACACCAGATGGGCTGTGAGCTCGTCCACCCATCCACGCAATTTTTTTTTTAAACTAACGCATTTTATTATATTAACTCTTTATTATTTTTCTATGAAAGCAGATACAATTCAGTCGGAAGCGGGTTCAGACGGGAACAGTGAACATGCGTCATCAGGTGACGAGGACTCGCAGATGAGACTTCGATTGAAGAGGAAACTCCAGAGGAACAGGACCAGTTTCACAAATGACCAAATAGATAGTCTCGAGAAGGGTAATTGATATCTATTGTATAATTTAATTCTAGAAATGCCGCAGAACGACCCTTGTCCATTGATAGCCCACTGAGTTTCTCTATGGTTTATCCCAGCTCTTGTTAGGGCAGATGTTAGCAAAATCTCTCAGAGCCGTGAATTTCACCTACACCCTCCGTGAATAGCCAAAATATCTCCTCAAGGCTATTAGCAGCGGTTAGGCCAAAAAAGTCTATGGAAGATGCGAATTCACAGCAGATAAATTATGTCTGTCCGTGATTCAGATCTCGGATTACTGCGTTTTGTAAATGTAATTAACCGGTTATTTGTTTTATTGGTGCTAGTTCAGAATTTTCTCGAAATTCATTGAATGATTTTTCTGGGATTTCCTTGGAGCTCGAAATTATATCGTATCTTATTTGACCACGATTACCAGATCCGAAGGTTAAGCGGAACAACTGATCTTCTGTAACAGACAATATTTACTACATTGATAAATTTTTCAAAGCCTTTTAAAGCATGTCAAACTTTTTTGTTCCATTTTCGTGCATTGAAATTTTTTATTTTAAATTAATATCATTCCATTGAGACGGACATGCAAGAAAGTAATATTATATTGTCTTTATGATATTAACAGTTACAAAGATCATCATAAATTATCGTATCTGTCTTCATTTAGCGATAAAACCGATGTTTCATAAACAAAACACATTCCGTTGAAATAATGAATCAATATTAAGCCCCATCGTACACGGTCGGGTCCTTACAAATCCCGCGAGTCTTCATAAACCTATTTCCGATTGTCCCTTTCATCTTATTTATTGTTTGCGATACACGGCTATTAGTAAATAAATAAATATTGTCCCCCAATATTTGTTGAGCACTCCGACGTACGACCGGAGCCCAATTACGCCGTAGCCCGGTCGGTGCTAATCTTAGTTTTTGCTATTTAGTTGTTTGCCGAGTCATTCTGGACGAACTTATTCCTTTTATTTGTCTTTTTATTAATTGAAATACTACTATATTAGTTTATGATCATATTAGGAACGTACCCATTTAGTTTGAGGTTACGATATTTAATTATGAGTTTTATTACGTGTTATTATAAAAAGTAGCGTTAACAATGTTCATTTATTTGGGCAATTTGAATGTCGAGCTCTCGACTTTTCTTATCGGAGCCTAAATACCATATGAATACCAATCCACTTTGATACATGAGGTCGATGTCCCAATGAACTTTGATCTTTTATTTTTATTTTTTATTGCTTAGTTGGGTGGCGGAGCTAACAGCCCACCTGGTGTTAAGTAGTTACCGGAGCCCATAGACATCTACAAAGTAAATGCCGCCAGCCAACTTGAGATATAAGTCTCAGTATAGTTACAGTATAGTCTCAATGAAATGCCTTTCAAACACCTGGAACTAATTCGCTGCATTTGTACATATTTTATGTCAATTTTCTATGGCTATGACTTATATACAGATCATTGAAAACCAGAATTACTACACTATTTAATACGTTGTCACTAGTGCCCTACGGGGTGCACTCAAGTAATTATGTCGATTTCTTCTTACTAAGGCGCCGGAATATCTGGTAGACTGGGAAAAAACAAATTCAAAGATACTGAGAATGAATCTATTTCGAAGAGACCTAAAATACTAAAACATTAGAAACAAAGGTAGCTAAAGCAAAAATCGAAATGATTACTTAATTATTATTTTTTTATGATTGAGAAATTACTGGTGGCCCGAAGGCCTTTCCAGTTTCACCAGGACAGGTGGGCGAGCAAGGGCTCAGCCAGGATGGGGTATGATTACTTAAGTGCGCCGCGTAGGGCATAGGTGACCTATATGGCAATCTAAAGGATAAGACGTCCGGTGCATTCGTATCTAGCGATGCAGCGGTGTTCGAGTCCCGCAGGCGGGTACCAATTTTTCTAATGAAATACGTATATAACAAATGTTCACGATTGACTTCCGCGGTGAAGGAATAACATCGTGTAATAAAAATCAAACCCACAATATTATAATTTGCGTAATTACTGGTGGTAGGACCTCTTGTGAGTCCGCACGGGTAGGTACCACCGCCCCGCCTATTTCTGCCGTGAAGCAGCAATGCGTTTCGGTTTGAAGGGCGGGGCGGCCGCTGTAACTATACTGAGACCTTAGAACTTATATCTCAAGGTGTGTGGCGCATTTCCGTTGTAGATATCTATGGGTTTCAGTAACCACTTAACACCAGGTGGGCAGTGAGCTCGTCCACACATCTAAAAAAAAGTCAACGTGTTAATAAAGTTATTTGTTGTTGATGACAGAATTCGAGAGGACCCACTACCCGGACGTGTTCGCCCGGGAGAGACTCGCTGAAAAGATTGGATTGCCTGAGGCACGTATCCAGGTAAAATAACATCCAGTTTACACAGCGGTGAGGCGGCTGTATGGCAGCGTAACACAATAACACCTTAACTTGTAACATAATAATATACTAATTACTAATTGGGTTTAATCGGGATACGCTTAAGGACTTTTTGTTTTTATTATACAACAAGCTTTTGCCCGCAACTCCGTCTGCATGGAATAGTTACTTTGGCGTAACGCTAAATTTTACCCTCACTTCATTTACGTAGAAAGTGAAAATATTTTTGAAATATAGAATGTTAAGGACGCTATCGAAACCCCTATTTTGAAACATTCTTTATTGGTGCTCCACTTGTATTGGCCTTACCGTGATGCTATATAGTCTTCCTCAATAAATGGGCTATCAAACACTGAAAGAATTTTTCTAATCGGACCAGTAGTTCCTGAGATTAGCGCGTTCAAACAAATAAACTCTTCCGCTTTATAATATTAGTATAGACAAGACAGTAGGGCGGTCGAGTTGTTTGACCTCATACCTGGTGACCTTGAGGTCTCAGTCGTATTCTATAAAGGCTCATCTAACCTAAAAAGCCTGAATGCAATACTGGCAATGCTAGTGTAGTACTTTAGTTGCGCGCGCAAAACACGCCGTGATATTGGTAAAAAAAAGAGTTCGCAATCTGTACAGTTCCTTGTCGTTTTGTAAATAAGGATCAATATCGTAAGTACCAGTGTAATCGCTTCGATACATACGACATCTAATAAAATCGTTATCACAAGGCAAAGCTGGCAGGGGTATTTCTCATACGAATAATTACCGTGATTCCGATTTAGAACATTTAAAGTCATACAACGGATCTAACAATGAGATTTGGTGCTATTTTAGACTTTATATGGCTTGGCAAATATTGTATGTTCATTTATGTTCACATCAGAGTTTATTGTTGTCGATTTAGCCTACGATTCTCAACCTGAAAAGATATTCACCAATTTAAGCGATGAATTATATTAAGAAAATATAACTATATAAATACACCTATTAAGAAAATAAGCAATAAAATATGTCGGTATTAAGCCTGGTCACATTTAAATAACAAAACAATCCAAATAAATAAGTAAAAAGACATAAAAATAATAATTGAAATTATAACAAAAATAGTGGAAAGATCGCGGAGCGTTTTCAGTTCATAATTTATTCCGTTTTATAGAAAATTCATTTAAAATTTGCTCTTTAAAAAAATCTCTCCGCGGCCATGATGTGTGTTGACTGGCTGTTTGTATAGGCAAAAGGGAATGTATAATAAGTATATGCGTCTTCAGCAAACACGTTGAAAAAACAAGGGGTATATCATAGCCCTTATATTATGTAATGTAAATAACTCGGTACAATAGCCTCGAAATGTTGTTTTTAATACACGATTTTTTTGCGGACGCCATGTTTTGTTGGGGCTTGCATTAATTTGGATTGTATTAATTGCGATCACGACTTTAATGTTTCGTTTTTCTATTGCTTAAGCGGGTGGACGAGCTCACAGGCTAGCTGGTTTTAAGTTTTCCATAGACATCAATCACTTAAATACCGACACCTATCTTGAAACATAGGTTCTAAGTCTCAGTCTCCCAGTAAGTAAAACGGTGCCCCAATTTTCGAACCGAAACGCATCACTGCTTCAAGGCAGAAATAGGCAGTATAGTGGTTACCTACCCGTGCGGACCAGTGCACTAATAAGCTCGGTCTTTCTTTTGGATTTTAGGTGTCTATTAGCTCGTTGATAGAATGATGTTTCAGATGCTTGTAAGTTTTTTCATTTATTAAGGAAATTAAAAAGTTATGATTACACTAATGTCACAAGAACGATACATATACCTACATTTTAACATTAAAATAATGTTTCAAAAGCGCCACCTCGAGACATAGCATGAAAATGTTACATTATAAATACAACTAGAGGTCCCGCAGTAGTCGAAATTCGACTATAATTAATTGGAATTATAAGTTTGTACACTATTATGATTGTATTTTATACTTCTATAATCACAAATCTCGCCAAGACTACACTATAAAAAATATTAACAAAGACAAACCATATTCTATTCTCAATTTGACAGCCGACGTCAAGAACAAAAGTTTGACAATAAATAGTATGCATGCGTGTGTGCGTCAAATACATGGTATGTAGTGTGTGTAATGTTTTCTTTATTGATTTAATGTAGCTTTTATGCATTATTTTAAAAAAATATTAGCATTGTACACTTCTTCTCTATATTCTCTAGAAGTTCGGAAAATTTCATACTCCTCTGTCCGCGCAATTTTCGTAAAAAGGGATACAAACTTTTTGCTTCACGTATTAATATATAGATGAAGTGTTATTAGTGGAAAAATTTTTGACTGCGAATAAAATGTAAGCAAACGTAACGACAAAAAAAATGTTTTGATTTCTTCTATATTTTTAAACATAATAAATCTGGTTACAGCTTTGACCGCCTCAAATAAGATTACAGACGATGTAGAAGCTATAGAATTCAATATGTTGAGTCTATCAACGAGCGATAGAGTCACCATATTGAATTCCGACAAGATATTTATTTCAAAAGTATCTATCTATACCACAATAATAATAACCGGGAACAAGTCACACACGATCATCTAGTCCTAAACTATGACAACCGGAGTTTGATACACATATGTACATATATACACATGTACATGTATAGTTTTTTTTAATGCTTAGATGGGTGGACGAGCTCACAGCCCACCTGATGTTAAGTGGTTACTTTAGCCCATAGACATCTACAACGTCCATGTACCACCCACCTTGAAATATGAGTTCTAAGGTCTCAGTATAGTTACAACTGCTGCCCCACCCTTCAAACCGAAAAGCATTACTACATCACGGCAGAAATAGGCGGGTACCCGTGAGGACTTACAAGAGGTCCTAACACCGGTAATTACGCAAATTATAATTTTGCGGGTTTGATTTTTACTACGCGATGTTATTCCTTCATCGTGAAAGTCAATCATGAACATTTGTTGAGTACGTATTTCATTAGAAAAATTGGTACCCGCCTGCGGGACTCGAACACCGGTGCATCGCTAGATACGAATGCACCGGACGTCTTATACTTCAGGCCACGACGACTTTTTTTAGATAATATTTACTGAAATAGTGAGCGAGCAAAGTTGTTAATCAAACGAATGTTTGCTCGATGTGGGAATTGAACCCACAAACCTCGTCCCAGTAGTCAGTGGCGCTAACCACTGCACAATCTTCAACAATGTATACATATATACCTATTATAAAAAACATTCACCGACGTTTAGGAATTATTTATAATGCAGCGCACTCAGGCTATAAATTCATGTTCGCTGCATTGAGTTTAAAATGTTTAAAGGCACTTGTAACAACAAAACCCATGCTATCAAATCGTCATTACGTTAAAAGCTTTTCCTATAATCTAGTTACTAGCATTTTATGTTGTTATACTTTTGCTAAATTACTTACAAGATGAGTTTTGACTTTAGTAGATATAATTTAAAAGCATTTGATAGATAATTATAATTAAAAAAAATTCGTAATGCGATTTGAAGATTGAGATACCTCTATTACGCTTATAAAAAATTCTAAACAAATATTGAAGCTACGATGGCGACGCCAGGCGGGGGAGGAAAGTCCTCGAATGGAGGCCACGGATGGGTACCTACCAGGAGCGTGGGGCGTCCTCCAACCAGGTGGACTGACGACTTAGTGCGCACGGCGGGAAGTCGTTGGATGCGAAAGGCAGAGGATCGCATTATGTGGAAGGCATTGGGGAAGGCCTATGTCCAGCAGTGGGCAGATAAAGTCTGATGATGATGGCTTTTGCACAATGCTACTCCAATCTCGACACTCGTATGTACACGCTAACTCGGGTACTATAGAAGAAAGAGACAGATGAGTTAGGGCATAGCGCTTTTTGGTTACGTGACGATTTTTACTAGTAACCCATCGAAAGCCGCGTATACTTCGTATAAAAAAAAACTAGGGTTGTATGAAATAACCTTAAGCATTATTTTGAGGAAAATTCTACAATTTTTAATTTATGTAGGCTTTGTGTCGGTAGGCTGACGAGTTTACGGCTCACCTAGCGCTAGTGTGTATCAGAAAGATAACAGAGATATAATAATTCGACGCTTCACAAGTCTCGAACCATTGGTATTTTAAGTCGTCGCACGTTAAAGCATAAGACGCCCGCTGTATTCGTATCGATTGAATATGACTGTCTTCAAATCCCGCGACAAATACAAATGTCTTCCACGATGAAGGAATAGCCTAGTGTAATAAAAATCATACCGGCAAAAATACGATTTCCGTAACTATTATGCAATTCAAACACATAGAACTTAGTTGGTGGCAGTGTCTACGTTGTTGTCTACGATCTTAGGATATCAGTCGGGCCGCGAGATCGTTTATGTAAAACGTTTATGTAAATAGAAATACGGAAATGTTACGCTCGAAAGCACGATGGTTTTGCGATAATAGACCCTATAATCAATGATAAAGATAGTGGCAAAAGAAAAAATCGAAATGATCGGTTATCATCTACTGATACCAAATACACCTCCATTCCTCCGTATTATCCTGTTAATACAAAAACAGCAGACAATTAAAAAAATAAATACAAAATGCTTTATTTTCAAAAGCGAGTTAAAATAATACAATGATTGGAGTCTCCTTTTAAGCGTGCAAGCCTGTACTAGGAGACAATTAACTGTAAGATTTAAAAACACCGGTCAAATGTTTATTTACGTAAGTAAGTAAACTAAAACACGGCAAAACATTTTCTTCTGCCAAAAAACTTAGTGTTAACTATTCGGGACGTGGACGCAAAGCTCTCGTTTCTTCGTAAAAACGGCTTGTTCTCCGTAGCAGGCGGGTAAAGCTCCCACATTAACCTCTCGTCGGCTAGTTAACATTCAGACCATGCGACGTCACAACTCAACAAGTAAAGCTTTAGGGTTGTGCCTTAATTACTACTCTTTGATCTAATATATACCTTGTA